GCACGGCTGCCTCGGCTGAATGTCACAAATACTTTCCTTTATTTAGGAATCGCTCTGGGTTAGTGGCTGGAGGAAGGCGAGGATGGATGGATCGTGGGGGGGGAGGGAGGGAGAGAAAAGAGGAGAGGTAAATGAAAAGACCAAAATAAATGATTAGCAATGTCGAAGGAAAGGGGAAAAAAGAGGGGGAGGAGGAGGAAGAGGGGGGACTAAGAGAAGAGATATTGAAGGGCAGAAGATGGAGAAGGAGGAGAGAAGGAGGAGGGGGCGGAGAGGCGAGGGAGCGAGGCAGAAACAGCTCCAGTCTAGCATCTGGATTTTATTAGCAGCCGTTGGGAAAATCTGAAAAGGAAGTTTTTTCTCTGCAAGCACGTCGGCAGCAGTGATATGCTGCACATAACCACCTCACTGCCGACGAGAGGAGCCAGGCCCTCCCAAAGGAGAACAGATGGTCGCTAGAACTTCAATACAATTACATCAATAACAGCTTTCACAGATATAAGCACTGTATGACAGGATCCCTGCAGCTCAGAGAGACAGAAGTACAACTCCTCTGCCCTTAGCACCCCCAGCCCTGGATAAATTGTCTTTAATCCATCCTCACTCCCTGCCCGTCCTCAATTTATCCTTGTTTTTCTTGCCAGTTTAGACATTTTAAAGTAAATGATGAAGCTTTTGACTTGGAAAAACTGGTGACTTGTCAATGACTTGCTCATGGTGATCTGATCAAAGACAGGAGGGCTTTTGTCAGTGCTTATTAAGGAGAACCACCCCCCTCATCCGGTTTGTTTTATTGTTCAACATGTTTGTTCAGCCGGCACTGCATGTGTACTGTCACAGGGATTCTCAAGTAACATAGGGTAAAATATGTGTTTGTGTCCACAGCGTGAGCATATGCATTCAGCAAACTTGAGCATGTGTGCATAGATCTGTGTGTCTATTTGTGTGTGTGTGTGTATGTGTGTGTGTGTTTTGTGTGTGCAGGCACTGCACAAGCCTATCTCCCACCCTGTCATTAGTGAAGGCTTTAAAGCCTCTGAACTCTAAATCAGCTCAAGATGAAGTGGAGTCTGGGATCTGTCTGCAGAAGCAGCCTGTGTGCTGACACGCAAATACACACACACACACACACACACTCCCATCTTACCTGTGACACAGTTCAGACTTCACACCGATAACAAGGCATATATAGGAATATATAACTTTTTTTTATGTAGATTGCTCTTGGTTAGAGGAAGATGAGTTATTGGGCGTGTGCTGCTGATGTCAGCAGTCTTTTTCTTTTGGACTGGTAGTATGAGAGTGGAAGGTTCTGTAGATGCTGTATCCCCAAGTCTTAGGTTCAGGGCACAGGGCTCCAATCCCCATGTTTTGATACGAAGGCCTGGTGGGAGGCTGGGGGCCAGGGGCTTAGGCTCTGTTTGTGTGGACTCCTCAGCGGCCTGATAGGGAACAGATGTGGGAAGGCAGGCGGCCGGGCAGCCAGCCAGAGCAGCTGGGAGAAATTAAAAACAACAGCATTCCTGGAGACATGGGGAATTACAGTGGGAGGGAAGGAGGGAGGGAGGGATGTAAGGAGCGAGAGACAGAGGGAGAGTTTTAAGGCAATGTGGTCACTGGTGAGAGTCTCTGTGGAGTACGAGAGATTGAATAGACAGGGGGGATTTAAGGGGACTGTTGTGCAGTGGTTAGCTAAAGCTAATAAGTTGCAGCTGTATTTCCAGTGGAAGCACAAGCTCACATGCACAAACACGCAGATATGCATACAGTCAACAATAGGACGTACGCCAATGTGAAATGAGACCAAAATGTATCTGAATTGCCCTCTAATGGCTTGTCATGACACGATGGTACTGATTTGTGTGTGTTCTTAAGGGGTTTAATGGAGGCATATGTCCATAAATCTATAATGAGACCCCAAAAGGGCTTTAGAACGTTAGACAATCCACTGCGCTGTGTGCTCGCAGTAGTACAGTACAGGATCTGTGGTTTTGTGAGTCTCGCAGTGAATTGTTTTTCATCTTGTTTCATCATGGCACAAGGGGAGAGTAGAAGATAGAGAACATTTTTAGAACTCAGCCTGCAGACTGTTTCTTTGGTGTGCAATCTTTTAGCCCCAATTACGTCAAACGTGTAGACATACAGCTCAGTTCAGAGAGTCGGAGAGACAGAGACAGAGACAGACAGCGGCAGAGAGGTAGGTAATCGTATTGTTTTATTTTCAGCCTAATAGTCAATAACGAATGTTTGGGACGGACGGCAAGGTATCTCTATCCTCAGCAGATCTATTCTCAGCTGTATTGATCCCAAAGTGGCTCCTCTCAGAGAGCCAGATAAAAACCTGTGGGGGGAAATAGAGCAGCTTGCAGGCAGGAGAATGAGCATGGTCCAGACCCGGACCTTTAACCACAGGTCTGTTTTACCTGGTGTACCATCTCTCTCTCTCTCTCTCTCTCTCTCTCTCTCTCTCTCTCTCTCTCTCTCTCTCTCT